GGGGGGGGGATGGACCAAGTGGTTAGAGCGCGAATTTACTGACCGGAACGTCCGTGGTTCGAACCCGACCTCCGCCACTCGACTCCTCCTGTCAGGCTTGGGCCACCTGGCAGTATCCCAGCCCTCGTGCCTCCTTCGTGCGGCATGGCAGCTAGGCTCTGAAAGGGTGCTACAGCTGGACGATTTTATTTTCGAGCTTTCCAGGACGATGTTCGAATAACAAACAATTATGAACAATGACTGTAAGTGGTTCAATGACTTCCATAACTACTACCATGACTACAGAAGCCATACTTTTCACTGTAATTAACTGGTAACTATCATATACACATACATCATATTTCAATTCCATGAACTACCGTTATCAGATGATTAGGGCGTACATGACGCCATTCCATACTGTATTCCTTCTAATCTCAACCTGGAGACGCTCAATTGTTGCAACATCAACCTTTCAACAGATGCTACTCGCACGTTTTGTCTTTATTATAAACCGTCACAGTAATAGTGATATTCTAAGCCCTGAGTTGGGAAGATCAATTCGCCAAAGTAATAAAGTTGTCAGGTATATGAGTTCATTTTAGGTTGAAATCATTTGTACTGAGAGCTACCAACTGCACAATGTGGGATAAAACTTTTCACCTATATCCTTCTGATAATCAAGCACGGTTTAAGCGGGTTGACTGTTTGCTAACTGTTCGTCCACTTGTCCTATTCCACTGGGTTTACTTTGGCCATCCACATGATCCGAAAAGCAGTTCAACCTAAACAGCTCTTGACTCTCGTTCAATGCGAAGGTCTCACGAGTGAAGCTGGATTTGACGAGGGGACTAAGAAAGGGATGAGAAGAGTTTGGTTCCGTTTCGGTGCTTGATTTTCAACGATTTGCCAATCGTATCTCTGGTCAACAGGGTCGCTATCACTGTTCACTTTCTTCCAACTGCTCACAACTGACCTTCAAATGCATTTTATTTTAGCGATAGAAGCCACACTTGTTCAGGATGATGACCAGAAGAACCATGCAACGACGAGGGCCGAGGAGAAAACTTTCGGGGGGCACGCGCCCTGAAGTGCACCAAGATGAGCCTAGTTGTAGAAGACGACACAGCTGCTTCGGAACCAGAAAAGTAGGGTCCATTTCTGAACCACCAAAGAAACTGATAGTTTGTAACTGATGTTCAAGTAACCACAGTAGGGAATACATGACAAGATGGATAGCATCTTAACTACTTCCAGAGCAAGCTGATTATCTTTTGGTCAAGTAAAAGTTGCAAAGCCGTACCAATTGGGTTACGAGTGGTCGCACCGTTTGCACTTCCCGTCAACAACACAAGTCTACTTGTCTATCGTTTATGACAGGCGTAATGTACTGCCACCTGTAGAATAGGGATCTGGAGATGCGGGCTGCTGGGTTAAAGTTTGATGTAGGAAAACCAAAAAGAAGTGAGGAATCACGCTGAATCTACACCGATCGCCCAACACAACAGCAATTTTCCCAGGCACACGGTGTTCTACTGGAAACTGCGATGGACTCCCACTTTGTTATTGCCACATTGCTGAGGTTTCCATAACAGAACATTTGTCCCAAGGGAGCCAAGTACATGACCTCTGACACCCACAAGTATTCTTGTCCATCTTTCTCCATCCCCTGTATGTTCTCCGCTTTCAGCGCAACCCCGTATCGACAATCGCCATTCAGAAGCGGAAAATGCCTACTTGATATAAATCTGTATTACGTGTTTATTACTCTTCACAATTCCACCTTTGCCAGCCGAATCCCACAAATCTCACGTCACCAGTTGGAATACTCAAACTAGCGAGGGTTTTGTGCTCAATTCACGTTTCAGTTCCAAACAGACTTTTTATATCCCTTCTGTTGGAACACTTTCAGAAACTCTGACCATCTGACACTACTGAGGAAACATGCGAGTAGTATGTGGTTTTCTCACAAGTTCGCTTAGAGTCTATTGAAAAGTGAGATTTATTACACAATTTATGGAATCGCTTTGTAGTATTCGTTTACGTTTGAGTGATAGTCAATGAATATCCAGGAAAGTTCAGGAAAACCTGTTCGAGAGGAAGACGGATACACAGTTCCCTGTCCAGTAGTACGTCACTGTTCAAGTGGTATTTTCCAATAACTAGTCCCGCAGCGAAGGCCTTCTTCCTTTCACTAGTATTATCAATATTAACACTGTTCTGGTGCTCGGCCTATTGCGTAGTCACAAATACCCCCGATTTCCGAAGCAAAAAACAACACCCGTACTCGAGGTATCAGATATATTTAAATGTATTTAGAATGTGTTTAGAAAAGTAACAGGATGATGTGACGTGCCATTCCGCCAACTGTGCCTCAGCGGTCGGATACGAAGAAACGCGTCCGAATTGGGAATAGGTCAATTATAGAAAGACTCCGTGACCGCCGACTGATATTCGGGCGGGTGGGTCGACAACAAACCGCTAAACAAGCTAAAACAAAGCGATGAGAGACATCGATTGGACGATGGAGTCAAATGCATGAGACCTGAGGAGGAAAGAATCGTGAGGAGTAGTTGTGAACCGGGCGCTTTTCGGCTAGACGAATCGCCGGTGTGCCGATCAGCAGTTGGAAAGAACACTGTAAGGAAGAGAAGAAGAAACGTTCACGTGAACGGGTGTCCAAAAGATGAAAACACACATTGCATCTAAAACAGACCTGTCTAATGGGATAGAATAGGGCACTTCAACGAACGCAACGGGTGTCTCAAGTGCCCTGGACTGGTCCGATTGATGAGATTCTTAACTAGGCTGTGATAGCTCCAACGCATTCCGTTGAAACATAAGGTTACGTAGTAACGGCGGCGGTTCCGTGAAGAAAGAGCGACCATGGAAGTGACCGAAACCGGTTCTTCTTGTGAGGAATTCTGTCTAAAGCATGACGTAGGTCTAAAATGTATCCACGGGTACTACATCAACCGGTTGTTCACACAGACTAAAGTAACCAAAACAAACTAGGTGCGAAAAGTCACGTGGTTAGTGCCACAATAGGAAACTTCGGAATCTACCGTAGTCTTGGCTGCTTGCATTCGCAATGAATTTTGGTCTGATTATAACGATATTACTTACAGGACTGCTGGAAACTCGGGGAATATCTAAGACAGAACGCCTAGAGAAATACGTCTTTAGTTATCCAACTGGCCGGTAGAGACTATATATATACGATAAGAATATCAGAGGAGCTTCGGTTGGGCCGTAGTAAAACTGCTTTAATTCCTAGGGCGTATAACTCCACAAAGTTTGGTTCATTTTTACCAGGGATCAGCAGATTCACCCGTCTCATTGCCATATCACGATGCGTTCCATCTCGAACCCGTGTCCAGAAGAAAAACACCAACAATCCACATGCATAAGATACTTTTCTTACATTTTTTCATAATCTGACTCCACTATTTTTTTCCGATCACGAGCTACATCTACCAATTCCCGTCCACTCACTCACACAAGGTAATCTGAAATTGATCGTCGGCAAACTGTGATGATATGCGCGACCACATCAATATCTACCGATGCTTTATAGATACCCGCTACCTGTACTTTTATGTGAGGTAGGGTACTGGAAATGTTATGTCATGTCCATTTCTCTTCCTCTCTGACACGTAGAGGATAAGCGGTTCTTTCCAAATGAATAGAATCACACAAGTTTCCAGTGCAATTGGAG